GTCACAACTCCCACAAACACGTCACCACGCCCCACAAACACGTCACAACGCCCACAAACACGTCACAACGCCCACAAACACGTCACAACGCCCACAAACACGTCACCACGCCCCACAAACACGTCACAACGCCCACAAACACGTCACCACGCCCCACAAACACGTCACCACGCCCCACAAACACGTCACAACGCCCCACAAACACGTCACAACGCCCCACAAACACGTCACAACGCCCACAAACACGTCACCACGCCCCACAAACACGTCACCACGCCCCACAAACAGGTCACCACGCCCCACAAACACGTCACCACGCCCTACAAACACGTCACCACGCCCCACAAACAGGTCACCACGCCCCACAAACAGGTCACCACGCCCCACAAACACGTCACCACGCCCTACAAACACGTCACCACGCCCTACAAACACGTCACCACGCCCACAAACACGTCACCACGCCCACAAACAGGTCACCACGCCCACAAACAGGTCACCACGCCCCACAAACACGTCACCACGCCCACAAAACACGTCACCACGCCCCACAAACACGTCACCACGCCCCACAAACACGTCACCACGCCCCACAAACAGGTCACCACGCCCCACAAACACGTCACCACGCCCCACAAACACGTCACCACGCCCTACAAACACGACACCACGCCCTACAAACACGTCACCACGCCCCACAAACACGTCACCACGCCCCACAAACACGTCACCACGCCCCACAAACACGTCACCACGCCCCACAAACACGTCACCACGCCCCACAAACACGTCACCACGCCCCACAAACACGTCACCACGCCCCACAAACACGTCACCACGCCCCACAAACACGTCACCACGCCCTACAAACACGTCACCACGCCCTACAAACACGTCACCACGCCCTACAAACACGTCACCACGCCCTACAAACACGTCACCACGCCCTACAAACACGTCACCACGCCCCACAAACACGTCACCACGCCCTACAAACACGTCACCACGCCCTACAAACACGTCACCACGCCCACAAACAGGTCACCACGCCCCACAAACAGGTCACCACGCCCCACAAACAGGTCACCACGCCCCACAAACAGGTCACCACGCCCCACAAACACGTCACCACGCCCCACAAACACGTCACCACGCCCCACAAACACGTCACCACGCCCCACAAACACGTCACCACGCCCTACAAACACGTCACCACGCCCTACAAACACGTCACCACGCCCTACAAACACGTCACCACGCCCTACAAACACGTCACCACGCCCCACAAACACGTCACCACGCCCTACAAACACGTCACCACGCCCTACAAACAGGTCACCACGCCCACAAACAGGTCACCACGCCCCACAAACACGTCACCACGCCCCACAAACACGTCACAACGCCCACAAACACGTCACCACGCCCCACAAACACGTCACCACGCCCCACAAACACGTCACCACGCCCCACAAACACGTCACCACGCCCCACAAACAGGTCACCACGCCCCACAAACACGTCACCACGCCCCACAAACACGTCACCACGCCCTACAAACACGTCACCACGCCCTACAAACACGTCACCACGCCCACAAACAGGTCACCACGCCCACAAACACCTTTATGAATAGGTTATTAGCGAAGGTCAAGCTTGGGAGGACTGAAGCAAAAGTTCACGTTGTATGATGAATGTGTATGTTTACCATCCGTGACTACTGGATCAAGCTCTAAGCTCTAGAACCCTTTCTGACCGTCGGTGGTCTATTGTACATAGATTTACTCTGTGGATGGCGGTGGATGGTGTGGATATTTGTGGATATTTTCCACTCCTCTTCCAGTGCTGCCCACTTGTTGATCAACCATCTTGAGGTTACCTTGAGATGATTTCGGGGATTTTTAGTGTCCCTGCGGCCCGGTCCTCGACCAGGCTTCCACCCCCAGGAAGCAGCCCGTGACAGCTGACTAACACCCAGGTACCTATTTTACTGCTAGGTAACAGGGGCATAGGGTGAAAGAAACTCTGCCCATTGTTTCTCGCCGGCGCCTGAGATCGAACCCAGGACCACAGAATCACAAGTCCAGCGTGCTGTCCGCTCGGCCGACCGGCCATACCCAAATGAACGCTAGGGTTTCTTCACAGTGCTGTCGTTCATTTGGGGTTTCCGTCTACCGATTTATCTCTGTTTTAAAGAGACTGTCCTTGTGTTTTGTCCCCTGTATCATACTGTCAAGGTCTTGTAAGGCGCGTGTCTGGGGAGACCCAGAACACTGGTTCTGTCCACCGTCCTTCTCTACTCTCGATTTTCGCCAAGATGAAGGAGGATTGTATCATGGAGAGATACATCACATAACTGTGGGCCCTAGTTCACATAGCTGTGGGTCCCTAGTTCACATAGCTGTGGGTCCCTAGTTCACATAGCTGTGGGTCCCTAGTTCACATAGCTGTGGGTCCCTAGTTCACATAGCTGTGGGTCCCTAGTTCACATAGCTGTGGGTCCCTAGTTCACATAGCTGTGGGTCCCTAGTTCACATAGCTGTAGGTCCCTAGTTCACATGGCTGTGGGTCCCTAGTTCACATAGCTGTGGGTCCCTAGTTCACATAGCTGTGGGTCCCTAGTTCACATAGCTGTGGGTCCCTAGTTCACATAGCTGTGGGTCCCTAGTTCACATAGCTGTGGGTCCCTAGTTCACATAGCTGTGGGTCCCTAGTTCACATAGCTGTGGGTCCCTAGTTCACATAGCTGTGGGTCCCTAGTTCACATAGCTGTGGGTCCCTAGTTCACATAGCTGTGGGTCCCTAGTTCACATAGCTGTGGGTCCCTAGTTCACATAGCTGTGGGTCCCTAGTTCACATAGCTGTGGGTCCCTAGCTTCACATAGCTGTGGGTCCCTAGTTCACATAGCTGTGGGTCCCTAGTTCACATAGCTGTGGGTCCCTAGTTCACATAGCTGTGGGTCCCTAGTTCACATAGCTGTGGGTCCCTAGTTCACATAACTGTGGGTCCCTAGTTCACATAGCTGTGGGTCCCTAGTTCACATAGCTGTGGGTCCCTAGTTCACATAGCTGTGGGTCCCTAGTGCACATAGCTGTGGGTCCCTAGTTCACATAGCTGTGGGTCCCTAGTTCACATAGCTGTGGGTCCCTAGTTCACATAGCTGTGGGTCCCTAGTTCACATAGCTGTGGGTCCCTAGTTCACATAGCTGTGGGTCCCTAGTGCACATAGCTGTGGGTCCCTAGTGCACATAGCTGTGGGTCCCTAGTTCACATAGCTGTGGGTCCCTAGTTCACATAGCTGTGGGTCCCTAGTTCACATAGCTGTGGGTCCCTAGTTCACATAGCTGTGGGTCCCTAGTTCACATAGCTGTGGGTTCCCTAGTTCACATAGCTGTGGTTCCCTAGTTCACATAGCTGTGGGTCCCTAGTTCACATAGATGTGGGTCCCTAGTTCACATAGCTGTGGGTCCCTAGTTCACATGGCTGTGGGTCCCTAGTTCACATGGCTGTGGGTCCCTAGTTCACATAGCTGTGGGTCCCTAGTTCACATAGCTGTGGGTCCCTAGTTCACATAGCTGTGGGTCCCTAGTTCACATAGCTGTGGGTCCCTAGTTCACATAGCTGTGGGTCCCTAGTTCACATAGCTGTGGGTCCCTAGTTCACATAGCTGTGGGTCCCTAGTTCACATAGCTGTGGGTCCCTAGTTCACATAGCTGTGGGTCCCTAGTTCACATAGCTGTGGGTCCCTAGTTCACATAGCTGTGGGTCCCTAGTTCACATAGCTGTGGGTCCCTAGTTCACATAGCTGTGGGTCCCTAGTTCACATAGCTGTGGGTCCCTAGTTCACATAGCTGTGGGTCCCTAGTTCACATAGCTGTGGGTCCCTAGTTCACATGGCTGTGGGTCCCTAGTTCACATGGCTGTGGGTCCCTAGTTCACATAGCTGTGGGTCCCTAGTTCACATAGCTGTGGGTCCCTAGTTCACATGGCTGTGGGTCCCTAGTTCACATAGCTGTGGGTCCCTAGTTCACATAGCTGTGGGTCCCTAGTTCACATGGCTGTGGGTCCCTAGTTCACATAGCTGTGGGTCCCTAGTTCACATAGCTGTGGGTCCCTAGTGCATGTGTCTTCCTGTAATTCTGTGACAGACCAAGTTGGGGTTTACACTATCATTAGCTTTGATTCGGCTGCAAACATTGACATGTGCCGGTTCCCTCTCTCGGGTAGGGATTGGTGACAGTGATTGTCCAAGGACCCAGTCTTGGGGCGGGGGTGCGGGGGGGAGGATTTGTTACATCCCTCCAGCTTGACACCTTTCTGTCTTGTGACACCTTTCTCTCTAATGACACCTTTCTGTCTTGTGACACCTTTCTCTCTAATGACACCTTTCTGTCTTGTGACACCTTTCTCTCTAATGACACCTTTCTGTCTTGTGACACCTTTCTCTCTAATGACACCTTTCTGTCTTGTGACACCTTTCTCTCTAATGACACCTTTCTGTCTTGTGACACCTTTCTCTCTAATGACACCTTTCTGTCTTGTGACACCTTTCTCTCTAATGACACCTTTCTGTCTTGTGACACCTTTCTGTCTTGTGACACCTTTCTAATGACACCTTTCTGTCTTGTGACACCTTTCTCTCTAATGACACCTTTGTCTTGTGACACCTTTCTCTCTAATGACACCTTTCTGTCTTGTGACACCTTTCTCTCTAATGACACCTTTCTGTCTTGTGACACCTTTCTGTCTTGTGACACCTTTCTCTCTAATGACACCTTTCTGTCTTGTGACACCTTTCTCTCTAATGACACCTTTCTCTCTAATGACACCTTTCTGTCTTGTGACACCTTTCTCTCTAATGACACCTTTCTGTCTTGTGACACCTTTCTCTCTAATGACACCTTTCTGTCTTGTGACACCTTTCTCTCTAATGACACCTTTCTGTCTTGTGACACCTTTCTCTCTAATGACACCTTTCTGTCTTGTGACACCTTTCTCTCTAATGACACCTTTCTGTCTTGTGACACCTTTCTAATGACACCTTTCTGTCTTGTGACACCTTTCTCTCTAATGACACCTTTCTGTCTTGTGACACCTTTCTCTCTAATGACACCTTTCTGTCTTGTGACACCTTTCTCTCTAATGACACCTTTCTGTCTTGTGACACCTTTCTCTCTAATGACACCTTTCTGTCTTGTGACACCTTTCTCTCTAATGACACCTTTCTGTCTTGTGACACCTTTCTAATGACACCTTTCTGTCTTGTGACACCTTTCTCTCTAATGACACCTTTCTGTCTTGTGACACCTTTCTCTCTAACACCTTTCTCTCTAATGACACCTTTCTGTCTTGTGACACCTTTCTGTCTTGTGACACCTTTCTCTCTAATGACACCTTTCTGTCTTGTGACACCTTTCTCTCTAATGACACCTTTCTGTCTTGTGACACCTTTCTGTCTTGTGACACCTTTCTGTCTTGTGACACCTTTCTCTCTAATGACACCTTTCTGTCTTGTGACACCTTTCTCTCTAATGACACCTTTCTGTCTTGTGACACCTTTCTGTCTTGTGACACCTTTCTCTCTAATGACACCTTTCTCTCTAATGACACCTTTCTGTCTTGTGACACCTTTCTCTCTAATGACACCTTTCTGTCTTGTGACACCTTTCTCTCTAATGACACCTTTCTGTCTTGTGACACCTTTCTCTCTAATGACACCTTTCTGTCTTGTGACACCTTTCTCTCTAATGACACCTTTCTGTCTTGTGACACCTTTCTCTCTAATGACACCTTTCTGTCTTGTGACACCTTTCTCTCTAATGACACCTTTCTCTCTAATGACACCTTTCTGTCTTGTGACACCTTTCTCTCTAATGACACCTTTCTGTCTTGTGACACCTTTCTCTCTAATGACACCTTTCTGTCTTGTGACACCTTTCTCTCTAATGACACCTTTCTGTCTTGTGACACCTTTCTCTCTAATGACACCTTTCTGTCTTGTGACACCTTTCTCTCTAATGACACCTTTCTGTCTTGTGACACCTTTCTCTCTAATGACACCTTTCTGTCTTGTGACACCTTTCTCTCTAATGACACCTTTCTGTCTTGTGACTTTCTGACACCTTTCTCTCTAATGACACCTTTGTCTCTCTAATGACACCTTTCTGTCTTGTGACACCTTTCTCTCTAATGACACCTTTCTGTCTTGTGACACCTTTCTCTAATGACACCTTTCTGTCTTGTGAATGACACCTTTCTGTCTTGTGACACCTTTCTCTCTAATGACACCTTTCTGTCTTGTGACACCTTTCTCTCTAATGACACCTTTCTGTCTTGTGACACCTTTCTGTCTTGTGACACCTTTCTCTCTAATGACACCTTTCTGTCTTGTGACACCTTTCTCTCTAATGACACCTTTCTGTCTTGTGACACCTTTCTCTCTAATGACACCTTTCTGTCTTGTGACACCTTTCTGTCTTGTGACACCTTTCTCTCTAATGACACCTTTCTCTCTAATGACACCTTTCTGTCTTGTGACACCTTTCTGTCTTGACACCTTTCTGTCTTGTGACACCTTTCTCTCTAATGACACCTTTCTGTCTTGTGACACCTTTCTGTCTTGTGACACCTTTCTCTCTAATGACACCTTTCTGTCTTGTGACACCTTTCTGTCTTGTGACACCTTTCTGTCTTGTGACACCTTTCTGTCTTGTGACACCTTTCTGTCTTGTGACACCTTTCTCTCTAATGACACCTTTCTGTCTTGTGACACCTTTCTCTCTAATGACACCTTTATGTCTTGTGACACCTTTCTCTCTAATGACACCTTTCTGTCTTGTGACACCTTTCTCTCTAATGACACCTTTCTGTCTTGTGACACCTTTCTCTCTAATGACACCTTTCTGTCTTGTGACACCTTTCTCTCTAATGACACCTTTCTGTCTTGTGACACCTTTCTGTCTTGTGACACCTTTCTCTCTAATGACACCTTTCTGTCTTGTGACACCTTTCTGTCTTGTGACACCTTTCTGTCTTGTGACACCTTTCTCTCTAATGACACCTTTCTGTCTTGTGATACCTTTCTCTCTAATGACACCTTTCTGTCTTGTGACACCTTTCTCTCTAATGACACCTTTCTGTCTTGTGACACCTTTCTCTCTAATGACACCTTTCTGTCTTGTGACACCTTTCTGTCTTGTGACACCTTTCTCTCTAATGACACCTTTCTGTCTTGTGACACCTTTCTCTCTAATGACACCTTTCTGTCTTGTGACACCTTTCTCTCTAATGACACCTTTCTGTCCTTACCTTGAGGTGGTTCCGAGGATCCATGTCCCCGCGGCCCGGTCCTTACCTTGAGGTGGTTCCGAGGATCCATGTCCCCGCGGCCCGGTTGACCGGGCCTCCTCAGTGTCGTGCCAGTTATCCCAGTTTGTTCCGTCCATCAGCCATTAATTGGGAACAAAATAAAAATAAAAAATTTATGTTTACATTTTAGGAAGATAAAGACTCCAGTGTTTCCAAACTTTTTTGGACTCTTGGCTCTATTTTCTAATAGTCAAGGGAGCTGCGACCCCTTGCCTCTATTTTCTAATAGTCAAGGGAGCTGCGACCCCTTGCCTCTATTTTCTAATAGTGAAGGGAGCGGCGACCCCTTGTTACTCTCTCATAACAAATTGGCTAATCAGGATACTCGCCACTTGCTAATTCCTGGTGGTTCAGATATCGTAGTCCTGGGTAGTTAGCTTCCGCTGGTTGGGAACTAGCTGTTTAGTAAGTGTTTTTCTTTTTAAAGGGGGGAGGGGACGGGGGGGGGGTACGTCCCATCTGATCCACCCAACGTGACTCAGATGGTTTGGATGATACGTCATCCAGCGTTCCAAATATCACCGTCTCTACGTCATCAAAACGGCAAGTCTTCGCACCACACATACAAGCGTCATCAAATGCGTCACTCGCCGCCCCCTACGCCCACCACCACATATATCATCCGTCATCCAATACGCCCGCCACAATCACACACACATCCGCCACTCCGAGCATGAAAGCGAGATCACCTACTCACGCCACCGCAGAAATAGAAGGGGGGAGCGACATATCTTGTACTGAGGGGGGGGGGGGATAGACCAGGTGGACAAGGACACGGGTGGACACTGGAAACGCATACCACTCAAAGACCTATAAAGAAATACTCGCACCTGTATAGGCGGGTCAACCAGTGGAATACAACGATAAAGAGAATTTGGAAAGTTTAATTGTGACGTCTCGCGTACGACAATGCTTCGTCACCAGGGTGTGCGGGTGTATGCTCCTGAAATAGAGGGAATACAGATAACATATAAACGACCTTAAGTATTGTGAGGTATCAAATAATATATACATAGAAGATACTGGAGGACCAGGTCCCAAATTTGCACAATAAAATAACATACTGGAACGAAAGATACGGAAGAAAATGGAGAATAGAACTATTCCGCTGCCGACGAAGACGACCTCTCATCTTATCCCACTAGTGTCTGGTTCTCAGGTTCGTGGGCCATCTTCGTCACTATGGGGCCTCAGACGCTCCAGTTCTGAGAGTGCTTGGTGCGTGCGTGCGTGTGTGTGTGTGTGTGTGTGTGTGTGTGTGTGTGTGTGTGTGTGTGTGTGTGTGTGTGTGTGTGTGTGTGTGTGTGTGTGTGTGTGTATGACTGTAGGTGTTGCTGATGTTTATTGATGTTGTCACATGTTTAAAGGTGATAACAGTTCCTACTGACGTTGTTTGCCGGTCCTCTGTTTTTATCTCTTACTCCCCATCTTCCTTCTGCTCCCTTCCAGCTCCCCCCCCTCCCCCAGCTCCCCCCCCTCCCCCAGCTCCCCCCCCTCCCCCAGCTCCCCCAGCTCCCCCCCCCTCCCCCAGCTCCCCCAGCTCCCCCAGCTCCCCCCCTCCCCCAGCTCCCCCCTCCCCCAGCTCCCCCATCTTGCCGCTGGGGAGGTGGTTGGTGGGTCGTTGTCCCTGGGGCCGCTATTGTGTGTATCGGGTCGGATGAGAGGAATAATGATCGTCATTTCCCAGGGAGAGGAACACCCTCCGGAGGGCAGGTCCGTCACCCTCCTGCCCCGGGTGACCACCCCCCCCCAGGGAGAGTACCACCCTCCGGAGGGCAGGTCCGTCACCCTCCTGCCCCGGGTGACCACCCCCCCCCCAGGGAGAGGAACACCCTCCGGAGGGCAGGTCCGTCACCCTCCTGCCCCGGGTGACCACCCCCCCCCCAGGGAGAGTACCACCCTCCGGAGGGCAGGTCCGTCACCCTCCTGCCCCGGGTGACCACCCCCCCCCCAGGGAGAGGAACACCCTCCGGAGGGCAGGTCCGTCACCCTCCTGCCCCGGGTGACCACCCCCCCCCCAGGGAGAGGAGCACCCTCCGGAGGGCAGGTCCGTCACCCTCCTGCCCCGGGTGACCACCCCCCCCCCCCAGGGAGAGTACCACCCTCCGGAGGGCAGGTCCGTCACCCTCCTGCCCCGGGTGACCACCCCCCCCCAGGGAGAGGAACACCCTCCGGAGGGCAGGTCCGTCACCCTCCTGCCCCGGGTGACCACCCCCCCCCCCAGGGAGAGGAGCACCCTCCGGAGGGCAGGTCCGTCACCCTCCTGCCCCGGGTGACCACCCCCCCCCCAGGGAGAGGAACACCCTCCGGAGGGCAGGTCCGTCACCCTCCTGCCCCGGGTGACCACCCCCCCCCCCAGGGAGAGGAACACCCTCCGGAGGGCAGGTCCGTCACCCTCCTGCCCCGGGTGACCACCCCCCCCCCAGGGAGAGTTCCACCCTCCGGAGGGCAGGTCCGTCACCCTCCTGCCCCGGGTGACCACCCCCCCCCCCAGGGAGAGGAGCACCCTCCGGAGGGCAGGTCCGTCACCCTCCTGCCCCGGGTGACCACCCCCCCCCCAGGGAGAGGAACACCCTCCGGAGGGCAGGTCCGTCACCCTCCTGCCCCGGGTGACCACCCCCCCCCCCAGGGAGAGTACCACCCTCCGGAGGGCAGGTCCGTCACCCTCCTGCCCCGGGTGACCACCCCCCCCCCCCCCCCAGGGAGAGGAACACCCTCCGGAGGGCAGGTCCGTCACCCTCCTGCCCCGGGTGACCACCCCCCCCCCCCAGGGAGAGTACCACCCTCCGGAGGGCAGGTCCGTCACCCTCCTGCCCCGGGTGACCACCCCCCCCCAGGGAGAGGAACACCCTCCGGAGGGCAGGTCCGTCACCCAAGCGCTCCAAGCAACAGCCTGGTGGACCAAACTCTCACAAGTCAAGCCTGGCCTCGGGCCGGGCTTGGGGAGTAGAACAACTCCCAGAACCCCATCAAGCAGGGACAGTGCAGGACTCTCCATCCTATTGTTTACATGCTATATGTATATTCTTTTGAATATATTTAGTGTATTAGCGTGTGTTTCTCCTAGTCCACTAGTACCTACGGGCTCGCCATAGCCCGTGCTGCTTGCAACTGTCTTCCAGGTAGCGAATCTTTAACAACAACTCCTCCTAGTGCTCTCACTCACTCCTTTACACTAACAGTTCTTGATAACATTCCTGTGACTTGAAGTTCCACTCCGTGTAGTGATGTTCTCTCTTAATCTGAACACGTTCTCTTTATCAACTTTACAAAGTCCAGGGGCCAGATTCACGAAAGCACTTACGCAAGTACTTACGAACGTGTACATCTTTCCTCAATCTTTGACGGCTTAGGTTACATTTATTAAACAGTTTACAAGCATGAAAACTTGCCAATCAACTGTTGTTATTGTTATAAACAGCCTCCTGGTGCTTCCGAGCTCATTAACTGTTTAATAATTGTAAACAAAGCCGCCAAAGATTGAGAAAAGATGTACAGGTTGTTGCGTTAAACAGAGGCTACAGTTAAGGAATTGCGCCCAGTAAATCCTCCCCAGCCAGGATACGAACCCATGACACAGCGCTCGCGGAACGCCAGGCGAGTGTCTTACCACTGCACCACGGAGACTGTAAATATGTGTTAAGATTGTACTATGACTTTGTCGTATGTAAATAATGTTCTGAAATTTGATTTAAATTAACTCGATCTTAGATGCGATTACTATTTGTAAGTAAACATTATTTTTTGATTTGAGATTGTGCCAACGGTACAAGACGAAAGGTCTGTTGTTGTTGTTTAAGATTCAGCTACTGGGAACTAAGAGTTGCAAGTAGCACGGACTATGGTGAGCCCCGTAGTGGAGTTAACCTGGCCCAGGAGCGGGGCTGTACCGTCCGTGGCTCTCCCTTACGAAAGGTCTGGAAGAGTGAGATTATATCTGGAAAGTGAGAGTACTGTAGGTTAGGTGGGGGGGGGGGGGGCAGTTACCAGGTATTGTTTGGTGGAGATTGTGTTGTTTACTTGGTCGGGTTCACCCTAGCCAGCACCCTCTTCCCCCCCCCCTCCTCCATCCTTGCCCGTCCTCTCTCCCTTTGTTTTCTGCCTCTTTCCCTCCGCCGCTTTTCTTACACCCTCATTACCAGCCTTGTCTCACTATCTCATCTTCCGTCTCCTCCTCCTCCTCTCTCTCCTTCACACACTCAACACAGCTCCCTCACTCACTGCCTCCCTCTCCCTCACTCACTGCCTCCCTCTCCCTCACTTACTATCTCCCTCTCCCTCACTCACTGCCTCCCTCTCCCTCACTCACTACCTCCCTCTCCCTCACTCACTGCCTCCCTCTCCCTCACTCACTGCCTCCCTCTCCCTCACTCACTACCTCCCTCTCCCTCACTCACTGCCTCCCTCTCCCTCACTCACTGCCTCCCTCTCCCTCACTCACTACCTCCCTCTCCCTCACTCACTGCCTCCCTCTCCCTCACTCACTCCCTCCCTCTCCCTCACTCACTCCCTACCTCTCCCTCACTCACTCCCTACCTCTCCCTCACTCACTGCCTCCCTCTCCCTCACTCACTCCCTCCCTCTCCCTCACTCGCTGCCTCCCTCTCCCTCACTCACTGCCTCCCTCTCCCTCACTCACTACCTCCCTCTCCCTCACTCACTGCCTCCCTCTCCCTCACTCACTCCCTACCTCTCCCTCACTCACTCCCTACCTCTCCCTCACTCACTGCCTCCCTCTCCCTCACTCACTGCCTCCCTCTCCCTCACTCACTACCTCCCTCTCCCTCACTCACTACCTCCCTCTCCCTCACTCACTGCCTCCCTCTCCCTCACTCACTGCCTCCCTCTCCCTCACTCACTGCCTCCCTCTCCCTCACTCA